CTGACAGCAGCTGCCAGTCCTTCAAACCGTTTGGTGCAAGGCATGGTCAAGCAGCCTACCAAAACGGGAGATTTTGAGGAGAACAAGTCGGAAAGGCCAACGAGACCCCACCCTTAGCACTGCAACACAGCAGCCCTGCCTCCTGCGGCAAGGCTCTGGATTCTCAAAGACGGCAGCACGCACAGCAGAGCTGCCCGTTACCTTTGCCAACTGCTGTCCCACGCGTGCACCCAACAGGCAAAGCAACAACCCCCTACCCAAAAATTCACACTGAGCTCTTCCGTGAACGAAAGGTGCTCTCTCTGCGGTAGACCCAGTCAAAACCATACAGGTCTGCCTGACCCACTCAAAACATTCGCTGCTTCCAAAAAGGTTAAAGCAATCCTCTTTTGCTTAATCAGGGTTAACCAATACCTTTTCCCTCCCAAAAATAAGTATTTTCCATACTAATACCTTCTGCCTTTCTCACACAGTTTCTCAATTTCTGCTTTCAGATCCTGCTCTTTCTGCAAGAATTCTTTCTTTTCTTTCTCCATCTTCTTCTTTGTCTCTTCTCGCTTGATTGTAACATCCTGAATTGCTTTCAGGATCTCCTAGAGTAAAACAAACATCGCGCAATTAAAGAGCAAAAGTCCCAAGTAACGGTTCTGGTTTTAAATCCCTTATTATTTCAGACTAATTGAAGAGAGACTATGAGATTACACGCATCACCAAAATCTTTCTTTTTAGTAGATCCAGACAAGATACATAGGGGTTGTTATGAAGACACCCAGGAGACGGGCAGCCGATCTAAACCACAGGTTCTCCCGCCTCTTTAGGAGGATTTTAAGGGGCAGCGAGTTCTGCTCTGTTTTAGATCTAGCCGGTGGGACACTGATGGTTCCTTTTGTCTTCAGGTGAGCTACCACAGGGCCAGTTGTGAATCACTCATTTAACCTAGTGATCCTTGAGAAACAGCCACGGAGATCTAAATAACAAACAGAGCTAATTCTCCTCACTTCAGTGCAATTTTCAGTTGGAAAAAAGGCTGTGGTTGTTGAAGAGAGACTGCAAGATCAGCGGCAGGAGCAGACGTGCGTGCAGGATACTGCGTTAGGAATTAGTTCTGAGCTGCTCAGCACCCCAATTGGGGCAGGGGCCAGTCCTTAGCACTGTAAAACAGTGTCATGCAGAAGCGCAACTGCCATGCGGCACGTCACTACCACTTGTCACGGCCTGCTTTGCTCTGCACGAGGCCAAAGCAACCCACCTTAATTGCATAAGCCACAGTACTAACAAGTAGGTTAAACAAAAAGAGGACTTCACCAAATACCTGGTGGTTCTTCATCTCTTCTTCCCTCCGCTGCTGGAGCTGCTTAAGCTGTACCTGCAGCTGATTCTCCACTTGCCTCTGTTTGTCCAACACCTCCTGGTAACGCTCCTTCAACAAAGCCCTCTCGGACATCATTTTGTCCTGCAGCAGAGAGCAGAAATTTAGGGAGAATCTTCCCCTTCCCTCGTGCTGAAGGCAGCACGGACAGGGGCAGGAAAGGTCAGCAGTGTAGAAGAGCCCACTGTCAAGAACCACCTTCAAAGCTTATGCTCTCTGGATCAGAAAAGACGACAGGAGGGACTGCCTGCAGCTAGCACTACATTTCCTCCTTTAAAGAGGATGGCTTAGGAACTCCAAGGGGGGTACTTAAATGAGAAAAAACACCCTGTGTGAAGAGCTCCAGCTCCTTTGCCCGGCAGCAGCAGCCTGGGAGCACAAATATCAGAGCCGGGACCCGATCACGGGGTTTTGATACCCACCAAGTTCTTCTCGATATCCTGATCTGTGTTCACATCCCTATCGGCTGTCTTGAAGTCGGTCTGTGAAGGGAGATGACTGCTGTCAGACCCCGTACCCCTGCAGCTACGCTGCGCGGCCAGACCCACATCGCCAACCAGCCCTGGAGAAACACCGGGGCTGGCAGCACCCCCACCTGCCCTCCCCAGAAGCAGCTGGGTTCACAAACACCCTTTTAGGAACCCCCGCTCCACACTCCACAAGCCCCAACGTCCCCAGGGGCCCAGAAGCCTGCTGCTCCCGCAGCCGCGCTCTCCCCCGGAGCAGGGC